AATTTTGAGGTTAATGGTTATAATCTGGTGAGGAAGATAATCATTTGTGCTATAAAATAAATTTGCTACGAATGAAGATTTTATTAACAAGATAGTAATGTAAGGTATTACATATAGTTGAAAATGTCAGCGTCGATGGCTCCCCTTCACAGAGAGCTCTTCTGTATGTTTTGCTTTCTTTAGATGGCGGCCAAAACACTTCCTTTTTCAACGGCGTCAGCCAAGTTTCGTGAACAACAGCTACACTGTTGCTTCCACTGTCATCAAATTGTATTACACAATACATCCTGAATACTTTCACGTAAAAAACAGACTGTATAGAAATACCACTCGAACACTCAATATTTTAACATTCTTAACAAATCCAATGACACAGACGACGTTCACAAACAACACCCATTCGAACATGGACGATGGACAATGAACATGAACGGGAACGTACCATGCACGATGCAAGCTTGACGCTGAATCACAGAACGGACCGCTGAACGACACTAACGCCACTAACGGCAGTCGCGAGATGGTCGCCAGTCGCATACACAATCTCTTCGCGTAATTACTTGATCGCCATTGGTCATCTGGTCGGTAAATGAGAATTGTCTTAGGCGCTAAATTTAAACATTGAAAATCAAGGGAAGCCTATGGAATAAAATAAATTTTTATCATACATTTATACAGTTATTTAGATAAATTAATTAATTTATTTTATAACTTCGTTTTCCTATACATACATGATGATGATAATAATAATAATAATAATAATAATAATAATAATAATGAAAATAATGATAGTAATAATAATAATAATGATAATGATAATAATACCCAAAAAAATATGAAGACCATAGATTGACGTCTATACGACGTCAAACAGTGGCTGTCCATAAGACGTCACACTAATGACGTCCGCATGACGTCATAAGTTGGTCAAAAGACGTATGAGACCAAAAAAGACCTTTGATAGCGGTCCTATAGACGTCACATTCGTCAGTCTGGCTACCTGGGCGCTGGCCGACACGTCAAGCTTATACATTGTTGGCCCAGTGATGACTGATGAACGTATTTTCAGTGCATTCCCAATGTTAATCAATTGGTTCGTTCCCACACAGAACTTTGAGGATATGCAGGGTGTCCCAAATTGCTTGATTTTGGCAGTTTCTTCTATTTCCAGAACAGCTAGAGATAAACTGCCAAGGAAGTCTAGATTTCAAAATGGTTAAACTCTACAGACACTTTTCAACGTAGAATGAGAATATTCCTGCCAAAAAGAATATATCGCTTATCAACTGGCTGACATCAAAGCTAACGTTGTTATATCAAATAACAACCATAGTTGGCTTTGACTCCAGTAAATCGGAAAAAAGAGGCTTTCCAAAAATACATAATTATGTTAAGATACGTCTAGTCATTCATCCTCAGTGTTAATACAAACAACAACAATACAACGTTGGCTTTAATATCAGACAGTAGATACGCGATATATTTTTTTGGCAGCTGCATTTCATTCTACGTTAAAAAGTGCCTATGGAAAGTTTTTTCTGTTTGAAAAAATATCCAGAAATAAAAATGTTACGGCATATTTTCGAAATCAGTCCAGAGTCAATTTTCGCACATATCTCGAAAACCGTTAGAGATATCGACATGTGGTTTTCAACAATCGACGTTTCACAAAAATCTAGCTCTAGACTCCTTGGTCAATTTTTCTCTAGCTGTTCTAGAAATAGAAGAAACTGTCAAAATCGAGCAAATGTGCGTGCAATCTCACGAATTCAGATAGAGTTAATAAAAATAACACATGACAAGTTTCCATATATTTTATTCCTACCACCCCTCTCTTTAGATATATAGTCCAATAAAAAAAACCTGGTCATCTTGTATCTCAAATAATATTCAAACTCCTTAGTGTAATTCAATTATTTTTTTTATATAATAGATACTAAATAAGTCTGCGTGAAATGGGCACTCTTAAATACACTTGGTTTATATGGTTTACCAGGGACGGACTAACTCTAACATGATAAGCTAAATAACCCCACCAGAGATCAGATTGTGAAGTTACTTCAGTACTTTGGTATTAGTACTAGAGAAAAAGTTGATGATATGAGGCTTATTTTAGAGGGAGAAATCATTAAACAATTTGGCGATACCAACAACATCAGGCAAACAAAAATGATGTAGATTTTGACAGCAAAATTGAGAATTTGGAGTATTTGTGTACCCGATTGATAGGAAAGCTATGAGGAGTATACCAGTCGAATCGTTAAAAAAAAATAACACAATCGCAACCTCCAGCTACTGGCAGTGCAATGCTGTGTATAGAAGATATAGTGATAAGGAAATAAGTCAATCCAAGTCAATTATTCAACCAGTATTCTGGAAACATGAGCCAGAACTTGCGTTCTGTGCTGTTGAACCAATTTTCGATCTGTCTGGAATAACCTCTAATATTTGGGAGAGTTCTATCTGTATTAGATTGCACTATAGCCAAAGAAATATCAAATATCTGGTGAAGACAAGATGACAAAGCTTTTTGCAGAGTGTCAACTTGGAGATAAAAAACCTAGTCAGCTTTGTAGAGAAATGACGGACCTCGCATCTGGTCAAATGACTAAAACTTTCATAATTCTAGCCTAGTTGAAACTGACAGTTGAACAAATAATTCGTGCATTTCTTCCTAACCTCATCAGACGATGAACTTGTTCAAATGAAATGAAATGGTTGAGATATCTTCCAATTCTAACATACACTACGTTAAATCCACTGAAACTTCAACTGCTGGCATATTATGACTGGGAGATAAAATTGATCAACTCATATGCAAGATGGATATTGATTCTAGATCTCATTCTAGAGGAAGAAGTTGATCTAGACCATCAAGATATAGTTCGAAGCCAAGAGTATCAAAAAGACCACGAAAATATATCTGCTATTTCATCGAATGTTCAACAACAAGGCTCTGAAATGCGTTCCTCCTTGTAGCTTGGATGAGACACGGAAAACTCGACTGCCAGTCGTTAATGATGGCTAACGACATTGGCAGGACACAAAATAGCCGTCTATTTGTAACAAATTTGAATTCATTGATGGATACTGGTACAGACATTTCTGTTATTCTGATAAAGAAAAATGCCTGGTTATCAACCAACAATTCACTTTACGCTGCTAACGGAACAAAAATCGAAATATTCGGAGAAGAAACTCTTGATATCACACTGATGGGGATTGGACGAAATTTCATTTGGAAATTCATTATATGTAACTGCTATTTTGGGAGGGGGTTTTCTCGACCACTTTAGAATTTTTGAGTGATTAACAACGCAGACAAAATATAAATTCTAGTCTGAAAACAATAAGCATCATTTCTTATTATCATGAAATTTTATTACTTATTTATTTTAGAGTGATTATGATACTGGATATTGATTCAAAATATCGATTATGTGGTATCAACGTGTTCGTAACAAAATACTTTTTTCAGATATGGTGACGAGCCACCCTTGTTCTATTAGAAAAAATTTAGTTAACATCATAATTACGATATTGTGAATTTTCAATGAACCTGTGAAACAAATAAAAAATGAACTTTCACCGAAACTATTTCTCCACATCAACTGTTTCAACTCATTCATGGCACAATGAAAATTGAAAAATGGAAATTTCAGGATGATAAGTGTCAAAAAGTGGTAAATGGGGTTTCATTGTACTCACAATGTTATTCTTCATCAAAATAAGCAAAAATTTACCGGGTGTCCCATTTAATATAAGAAAATATGGGTCATTTCCGGTCAAACCAGAATTGACAAAAAACAATTGAATATGCAAATTGATGCATATTCATGTTCTATACTCACACACCGAATTTTATTTGTTTAACTGTATAAACAAAAAAGTTTTAGGAGTGGGCCATCTTTTAAGAAACACCCGGTATAGGGACTAAAATGGACCGTCGCTGAGTTACCTACTTCATTATTTAGAAGAAAACTGACAAAATAATCAACTAGCATTATGTTAATTTGAATTGTTACAGGCAAAGGTGATGTAGGTAATGTAACAGGTTACCTAATTTTGGTGAAGATGTTATCATCCAAGATGCAAAAATGGTGTTTTTCCACACAAAATTGCTCTTGGTTTACTGTGTTCGATACATCAATGAGGTACTTTGTATTTCATCAATTATTTCATTTTCGAATCTGTTATCACAATGACTCTATTGTGTTATTATTTCAAAAAAATCTCATCGCCCATGGAATGTCAAATTTCAAGCAATGACGGCCCTGTCTAATAGATGAGCATTACTTGACAGAGAATCAGATGGCTACAAGACGAACAAATCAAAAATGCCGCTGTTATCTGTTACAGCCGTACACTACATTGTTCTACCACTAACCAAACCGATTTTTTAACGCCTCGACACGTGTTTCGCTAACTATGTTAGCATCTTCAGCAGAATATTAAAGAGTTTTAATCTTCTCCTGAAGATGCTAACATAGTTAGCGAAAACACGTGTCGAGGCGTTAAAAAATCGGTTTGGTTAGTGGTAAAACAGTGTAGTGTATTATCGTGCCAAAGGTTCCAGTCTTCGATATATATGTTACAGCCGTAGAAAAATTATAGTGCAAAATTCGCACGGAATGCTAATTTCCCACTTGAATGGAATAACTTTGTTAATTGAACGACAAAAAATATTTCAACAGCCCTTCCTGAAGTAACGCCCTCATAAAAAGGAGACAGACTATTATTTTTACACTCACAATGTGGGTTACTTGGATTAAAAGCTTCAGACCTTTGGAATATTTACTTTAATCATTTTCCATGCGAGCTCATGCGGTCTAAGTAAGCGGTTCTAGATTTGCATCCGCCGTTTTTGAAGAACAGGAAACGCTTATCACCCGCCGGTATTTCTGCTCGAATAGTCGTAAAGGTTGGATCACTCTTTGGGTGGAATTACCTGCGTTGATCGAGGAAGCGCCACCACCACAGAATACAAAATCAAGTCTCGAAAGCTTCGCTGCCACGGACCACGGAGTGCCACGGACTACGAACTAGTAGTACGCTCCGCGACACAGTGGTATATACAGGTGATTTCGAATGAACTTTTATATAGTGCTATTTACGTGTCAAAATAGCCTCTCTCAAAAACCGTTTTTTATATCCTTGCAATGGATAAGTTTATGATGAAGCTAAGATTTTCACGCGTGTAAAGTGTCCCATCCTATCATAGCAATCGAAAATTTCGTGTGTTGTGATTTTTGTGCAATATGAAGTGGTGTGGGGGTAACCCCAAAGTTTTCAAATACTTTCTCACCCTTATACTAGCTTATTGGACTATTTCTGTCGTTTTGGGAGATACAAGGCTGCTTACAAACTCAGGTAAGGGTTGAGACTTTTATTATCAACGTCATCAACCTAATTTCATCGGTGATGTGAATACATTATTATATGAAAGGTGAATAACCGTTTAGAGTTGAAAGAAATCTGCCGTCAGTGTTAAATTAGGAGTAAGTAGAACGCCGGTTTCAAAGAAACTTGACTGACTTATATTATTCGTGCCTCGATTGGTGCAGATCTCGAAGAGAAGAGATGGTTTCAATTTCTATTAGTTTTATAGGTAGGGTTTCGTGTTTAATCGGTCATTCAAACTCCCGAAATATAGGTCACCGTAATGGGTATAATTCGGGTATATTAGAAAAAGGCGCTTAGTCAAGAATTGTGAAGTTTGAAGAAGAGCGTTTTTAATAATTTGGAGGTGTATTTTGTGCATTTTGTAATGTTTATTGTTTTGCTCGTTGTTTTGTTATGGTGATGGTTAAAGAGGTGCTAGACATCTAATAATTTTTCGGGCAAAATGTATATTCATGGAATTATTTCTACGTGTACATACGATATTTCACGATTAACATACCTAATAGGGATTCCTTCTCGTGCGATCTAGAAGAGAAACATAGTCGTGACTTTATTGCATTATTTATTTGTTTACTACTTATAAGTATACTTTCGAGGATATATATATACACTCACTCATAATCAGAATTCGAAATTGGAATAAAAATTCATACTTAGGTCGGTACGTATAGAAATTATGCGGGAAATATCTTGGGAAATATCAAAGCTTACAAATAACATTTGGTTGATGAAAACTGTTGTTTTAGCTTGGGTTTACGGTCAGTCGATGATGCCGACTGAGACAATCAAACGCGACAATTGATATAGAGGAAGCAGTTGCTTAAAATCTCCTCTGGAAGCCCAAATGAAGCAACTATAGCTATATCTAAGTTTTGGAAGAAGTCCATGGTAACTCAAAGTCGAGCTCAAAGTGGAGTGGTGTATATAGTTTATAGATGAAAACCCAAAAACGCCCAAAGTCATCTCCACAACTTTTATTAAAATTACCAAAGATCAATCGCAACGGAACATGTTTCGGGCTTATATATGCCCATCATCAGCCAATATGAAAAGGATCATAGTTATGGAAATGAAAAAAGTGGACATACAAATAGTCGAGCAAATATGGAGCAAATAGTATAGTGAATAACAGGGCAAACCGAGGGGCAAACCGAGGGGCAAACATGGAAATATGCTCCATGAATCCATGATTGTCTATAAGTTTTGGTAGTATTCTTCCTATGCACTGTATAAACAACTCGATAAACAACAAGAATATTAATAAATAATAGTTATTTATGCAACAAGTGCAAAAAGTGAATGTTTATTGCACGAGTAACATACAACATTTTTTCTACGTTCATGCAAAAAGCAAAAAATGATTTATTGAGGTGCGGAACTAGGTACAACTCTGTTAATTGTCAGAATTAATTTTTGACTGACGTTTCTATAACCACAGTTGCAATATAAAAAATGTTTGTCATGATGACAACACGTTGAAGTAGAATGACAGATGAGTGCAATAAAAACTTCATTGCACTAAGTGCAATAAAGAACTTCTTTTTCCACTAAATATAGTTCAATAAAGTTCTGCTTTTTGCATGACTGTAGAAAAAAGTAATTATAACACTGAACAGGGTCCTCGCCAGGATCAGATGAAAATAAAATAATATGTTAAAATGTTTTCAAGTGAATATTCATAAACTATACAATAACGAAATTACTAGGAGAAACGTATTACGATAGCGCTCTTTTTTTTTTCTGATTTTCAAATCTATACGAATTCTTTCAATGCACTATCATTAGTCAGTTTGTCAAATCACTTTCGATCGAAATAAGTATTCCCAGAGATTGTAACCTTTTCACCGTCATTACAGTCCTATATTTTTGTTTCATTATTATATTGTCAATTTTGAGAATGAACGCTCTGCTCGGTGTATAGTCACTAGTAGTATCAAAAACAACTTTTAAGCAGTATACAGGGTGCCCCGAAATTAGCCTGCCCAACTTCACCAGTGGATTTTACCGAGGCTTTTACTATACCAAAAATAAAAAGAAAACGTTCAATGACCATGAGTCGAAAAATGTTTTCTATGGTAGCTATGGTGCCCTGAAAGCGTGCTCCTGAAGACGATATATTTCTTGAGTATTTCCGAAACTCCATGATAAAAAGATGCAATTCGGTAGAAAAACCTCGAGAAAAACTAAACTTTCCATGCCCAATGCAGTGAAAATGAAATTATTTCAAAATTCCAATCAGGAGTGAATAATACAGGGTGGGACTACATTAAATATTGCTCAACATTTTTCGTATGCATATTTTTAGAGAATTTAATCTCGGATTATGAAATTTCACACCTCTTCACAGATAAAAGGTACTCGAGAAGATACTCTTGTGCCGTGACGATCAGATGTATTATTATCGAGTAGAAGCAATTTGAAAATATTATTATATCTCAGATATTATCTCGGATATTATACATAACAATGCAATGGGGCGTAGTGAAAATGGAAAAAAATGCACAAAAATTCAAGTGGTTTTTTATCATCATTTTTCTATTTTTTGCGCTTTTATGAGATTGTTTGGTGAAAAGAAAGTATTCGACTTTTTTTATAGCCACTATGATTTGAAAATTGCATAAGATGTGAGTGCATCAATATTTTTCAATCGATTTCACTCGAAAATGATACATCTGATCGATGCGCAACAAGATCACCTTTTTTTTTAAACGGTGTGGATTTTCATTATCCGAGATTGAATTGAGTAATATTTAATGTAGTCCCACCTTGTATTATACACTCCTGAATGGAACTTTGAAATGATTTTATGTTGGCCGTGTCTATTCCTCGGGGCGCCCCGGCGTCGTATTGGCAATTTTGCTATCTATCGGGGCGTGATGCGCGCATGCTCATATTCCGCGCCGACGAATAGCATATTTGTATAAACTTCTAAACATCGGGGTGCCTATTGATATATCGTGCTATTCATAACCTACAAAATTTCCTTCGAGACACAAACTGACAGCACATTCATTGAAAAAACCAGGTGAATATTTGTAATCAAATGGCATATGGCAGTAAATTATAAAAGTGATTGTTTTTTGAGGATGGACCATCTAATAGGAAGACAATTCCATAGTTACGAAGAGGTTACTGCTTTTGTTGAACAATTTCAGACCGAAAATTGTATTCAACTTAACCGTGTTCCGAGCCGTGTTCTATCGAAAAAACTATCTGCTGAGTCCCTAAACGACGGTGCGCCCCGATGTTTAGACAAATATGCTATTCGTCGGCGCGGAATATGAGCATGCGCGCATCACGCCCCGATGGATAGCAAAATTGCCTATACGGCGGGGCGCCCCGATGAATAGACACGGCCTTTTATGTTCACCGCATGGGGCATGTAAAGTTTAGTTCTTGTATCAAATTGCATCATTTTATCACATGGCGTTTCGTAAATATTCAAGAAATATCATCTTCAGGAGCTTCCTTTCAGGGGGCCGTAGGAGACATTTCTAGACTCATGTTCAATGGAACTTTTCTTCCTATCTTTGGCCAAAGAAGCCGCTGGTGGAGTTTGGTAGGCTAATTTTGGGACACCCTGTATATGTTGGCGTCAAACAGTGAAATCCGTCATTCTCTGGAATGCCTAAGTAGTCATTTCACGTATTGCCGGCAAACAGCGTAACTCTAAATTTCGTACACCGTTTGCCTAATAGTTTCAGGCATTCCCTGTATTGACGGAAGGAAGGTTCATTTAGGTCGAGTCAGCTTAGGTTGTTTAGAAGCAGTAGTCTCTTCTGTTCTCCCAAGTAATTTTCTGAAAAATATACTTTCTAGGACCCTCCGGCAAACAGAGTAACAGCTGAAGATGGAAGTTACACTGTTACTCTATTTGCCGACAATACGTGAAATGACTCGGTATTTCAGGGAATGACGGATTTCACTCATTGACGCCGACATATTATATAAAGGGGGAAATACGTCCATCATTCCCTTATTGTATATACAGGGTACCGCCGATTTCATAGGGACATTATTGCTATTTTCTAAACGGTAAGAGCTAGAAAATTGATCAAACTAGAGAAACGTTGCGTAAGTTAAACCTCTTCTGTATGCCGTTTTGCAATCTGACAAAATTTCATCTGTTCCTGAAATATTTGGAAAAAACTGAAAATCATCGATGTTGAGATTGATCATATTCTTGGTCAATATTTCAGACATAAATCTGAAGTTTTGCGATAACAAGTAGTTAATCATGACAAAGAATCAGAAATATTCTAACTTCATTATTTCCAGAGATTCACCTACTATGGCTATGAAGAAATAATAATACTGTAGTCACGACGACTGATATTTTGTTCTCTTATTATTATGGCCTACCACATTTTTTGAAAGCAGTTCAATTTTAAGTAGTGTTGAATCAGCAGAAAATTGTTTTGTACTTACTGATTTTGGCGCTCATTGTTTCATGTGATAATGTCGATATGTTATACATGACAGCTGTGAAGGAAATTCCGAGGGTATGAATATAACCATATGCGAATAACATATTTATGGCGCCTATTAAAAATAAAAAACAAAAGTTGCAAGGCGAGTTGCAAGGTAAATCTCTGAAAATTAGGTAGATACCGAGGTAGATACAATATTTCTGGGGATTCCAACTTCTTTGTCGTGATCAATTTCCTGTAATAGGCATGGCAAAATTTCAAATATCTTTCCCAGATATTAACTGAGATGAAAACAAAATCAGCGATTTTCCGTTTTTCCAAAATATTTCTGGAATGGCCAAGTTTTTTTCAGTTCAAATTATGAAATCGGCAGGACTTATGATGTTTAACAATCTCGAACAACATTGCAATGTTGCCGCAGCCGCTATACCTATATAAAATAAGTATTCGCAGTAGTCAAGCTCATCTTCTGACGTTATTGCGATGAGATGCAAACTACGGGGAAATAACATTCCTAACTCTTGGCTTAGATTGAAA